TAATTTTTTTTTTCTCTTTGGCATTTGGTTTAAGAGAAAAATCCTGAAGCTTGTAGGGATTTCTGATGCCAGGAAACCGTGATACCTGAGGGTATATTTCGCAATCAGGGTGATTTAGCTCATGGTAATTGGCATATGTATAGTTATAATTTGCATTCCAGTTATTTAAACTGAGATATTCTTGATCAGGCTGAACATACTGTGAGTAGAAGATCACTTTCCCCAAGAAATAAGATTGAGTCTTTGGAGGGTGGCCTTGGTAAACTGTTAAGTCAGCTTCCTCTGGATGTTGGTAGTTTCTCCAGTTCCACCGCAACTCCTCAGGGCCCGGGCCTCTGAGTAAGTCACGGGGTTCCGGTTGACTTCACTTTTCCCCTAAAGGTCGAGTTTTTCTTTATTTTTCAATACAAATGGAAAGATGTCTTTGGTTTTCTCTACCCCTGGATACAAGATGCCATCTTGGCATTACGTGGGGATTTGTGAAGGTAGGTGTTCAAACGGTCAGAGCTTCCTGCTGCTGTTGCTATACATAGGTTCCTCTGCGGGCAGCACTCCTTAGCAGATGGAATGTCCTCTGACGTGAGGACAGTGGTTGATGAAAGCCAGATAATTTTTGTCATCAGGGAAGGACTGAAGATCAGCTGAATGCCGTCTCCACACCTCAAAAGCACCTTCAAATGCTTTACCCGGCTTGTCTCGTTCAACACAAATTGTGCTTCACTGAATGGATGATTCTGTCCATCAGCGTCCAACGTGGCATCCGCCTGTGCAAGGTGGATGTAACCTCCCTGTCCGCTGGAAGACATGTCAGCACCACCCTGCCATGAAGTGCTTCAAAGGTGAGATTAGCATTTATCATCAGTGGACTCTGAATATAGCTGACGACCCTCCATGTGTGGCTGGGTGAGCCTCATCCAATCAGTGGAAGGCCTTGAGAGAAAACAGACTGAAATGCGCTTCCGGACGCCTTGGATTGGAGCTGCCACGTCAACTCTTCTCTGGGTCTCCAGCAGAATTTGGACTTGGCAGCCTCCGCAACTGCATGAAACCATTCCTTAAAATAAATCTCTCTTGTTCTGTTTGTCTAGAGAACTCCGACTGATACAGAGGGTAAATCGACTTGGTTTTGGGTTTTGCAGTGGATTTCACACCAAAAGCACAGGCACAAAAAGAGAAACTGGACTTAATCAGTGTCCAAAATGGTTATGCACCAAAGGACATTATGTGGAAAATGAAAAGCAGCCTAAAGAGCATTTGCAAATCATAAATCTGATGAAGATCTGGTGTCCGGGACACGTAACGAACCCTCACAGCTCAACAGCAAATTCACAAACAACCCAACTTAAAAATGAGGAAGGACTTGAAGAGCCAGTTCTCCAAAGAATATATATAAACGGCACAGAGGCGCATGGAAACATGCTCCACATCACTGACTGTTACGGAAACGCAAATCAAAATCACAGCCACCAGGGTGGCTGCAATAAACAAAAATGGAGAAGACCACGCGGAGGAGTAAGAACCCTTGGGTTGCGGGTGGGAGCGTGAAGTGCTGCCGCTGCCACGGAGAACAGTTCGGTGGTTCCTTAGAAAGTTACACACAGACCTCTATGATCCGTGTGGACATTCCACATGCCCTGCTCGGCATACACCCCAGGGTAATGAAAACGTGTCCTCAAACAAACCTATACATGAATGTGGCGTCATTCTTCACAATAGCCCAAAGGCAGAAGCAATCCAAGCATCTGCCGTGGATGAATGAAGAATTGTACCTTTGGGAACACTTGCCACGTGCCACATGACCAGCCTTGAAAATGTAGTGCAAGGTGAAAACCGATCACAAAGGTCATGTATTGTTATTCCATTTATGTGAAAAACCCAGAATAGGCCAATTCCTGGAGACAGAGAGCAGATGAGAGATTGCCCGTGTCTGGGGCAACGACCTCAGTGGTGATTACTAAAAGTGTGTCTTCTGGGGTGATAAAAACGTTCTGAAATGAGAGGCGATGGGTGCACAGCAAATGCAGAAAATGCCTCGGAATCCTGCCCTTTAAAGCAGTTCGTGTTGTTATATGAATTTCTTTGAAAAAAGAAAAGGGGGCCGGGCGCAGTGGCTCACACTGTAATCCCAGCACTTTGGGAGGCTGAGGCGGGTGAATCATGAGTTCAGGAGATCGAGACCATCTTGGCTAACACGGTGCAACCCCATCCCTACTAAAAAAATACAAAAAATTAGCCGGGCTTGGTGGCACGCACCTGTAATCCCAGCTACTTGGGAGGCTGAGGCAGGAGAATTGCTTGAACCCAGGAGGCAAAGATTGCAGTGAGCCAAGATCATGGAACTGCACTCCAGCCTGGGAGACTCTGTCACAAAACAAAAAAGAAACGGGAAGACTGGCCACCCCTGCTTCCAGCAGGGCCCAGCTTTCTCCACCATGTGGGGCGACCTCTCACCTGCTCACCTTAACTGGACCTGGGCCAAGCCCCTTAGGATGCCCTCATGATGCCCCTGGCTGTACCAAGATCCCGGGATCCCACCACCTGCCTGCCAGGCTCACCTGTGGGTGCCGCCTTACTCCTGCTCATGGCAGCATGGACACAGGCCTGGGTGGCCCGTGAGGGCAAGATGCCTGGATCCCCCAGCCCTATGGGGCTGTAGCCACGGGCAGCAGCTGCATCGGGCTCCCTGTTCCCTGCAACAGCTCATTCCCAGGCCTCATTCTGAGGCCCCTCAGCTGGATTCCTGCAAGTGCTGGGCCAGGTGCAGAGACAGATGCTGAGCCTCCAGGGCTGCTCCCCCGACCCCCCACCGCCTCCAGCCCCCGTGCTCCATTACTTCAGCACCTGGACCTGAGCTCCTGTCCCACAGGCATCTCTCAGTAGTTCAGCCAACTGCAGAGCCACCGAGCAGCAGGGCTCAGCCTCTGCGGAGGGCACAGTGCCCTGCATCCAGCATGAGAAAGCCAACACAGCCGGGTGCAGGGATACGGCCCAGGGGGTCCTCGGTCCCCACCAGTCCCCAGGAGGAGGTGGTGCAGCAGCCTCAGGGTCTGAGCTTCTTGACGAGCTGCTCTCCTGGGCCTGCCTCATCCCCCAATCCTGCCGACTGCCCCGGGGGGGCAGCTGGGTCCTCCCTCGGCCACGCTGCTGCCCCATGCAGGCAGAGCAAGGTTTCCAGAGAGGCAGACGCTGGGTACCTGGGTCATCACGGGGCTGAGGCCGATGCACTGCAGGGGAGGGAGCTCTGCTAGGTGTGGGGGCGGCTCCCTGAGGCCGGGATGCTGGAGTCAGGCCCTCGCCCTTCCCTGCTCTGCTAGGTGTGGGGGCGGCTCCCTGAGGCCAGGATGCTGGAGTTGGGCCCTCGCCCTTCCCTGCTCTGCTAGGTGTGGGGGCGGCTCCCTGAGGCCGGGATGCTGGAGTCAGGCCCTCGCCCTTCCCTGCTCTGCTAGGTGTGGGGGCGGCTCCCTGAGGCCAGGATGCTGGAGTTGGGCCCTCGCCCTTCCCTGCTCTGCTAGGTGTGGGGGCGGCTCCCTGAGGCCAGGATGCTGGAGTTGGGCCCTCGCCCTTCCCTGCTCTGCTAGGTGTGGGGGCGGCTCCCTGAGGCCAGGATGCAGGAGTCAGGCCCTCGCCCTTCCCTGCTCTGCTTTACTCTGCCTTTGTCCCGAGACTGCCTGGTTTGAAGTTAAGGTTCTGGTGGTCAATTGTCCCCTGAATATTGTTCATTTGATCATGACAGGCAGCTCATGTAAAAGCCACAAAGGAGACCAAACAGAATGGAAGCCGGGCTGTGCCCCTGTCCGGCTGAGCTGGCCACTCCCCAGGGCCTGGGGCCACCATGCCCTGCACATTCTTTTCCTGTGCCTTTCAAATCTTTCTTCCTGCACATGAAACCCGACCACTTTTAGGGAGAAACATTCCCTTTGTTCGATTCTGTTTATCGGTCTTTCTCACTGAGCTGGGTGTGGTAGACAAGGAGACTGTCCCTGAGCTGCCAGGGACTTCATGTTGGATGGTGTTGGCCAGACCTGACCCTGGCGTCACTTCTGCTGAAAGAGGCCGGTGGTGCTCCATTTATGCAGACAAGCTCATGTGGCCCTCGTCTGTGCTCTGATGAGGACAAACAGGATGATGAGGAGGAGGTACAGGTGACGAATTTGTGGGTGGATGCTCCCCGGGCACCTGAGACATGGTCTGGTCCCAGGAGACCCAGGAGGAGGCGCCCAGAGAAGGTCCTCGGGGATGGGTGGTGCTCTCAAGGAGAGATGGGCTGAGACGTGGATGATCAAGGCGTGCTCTGAGCAGGGCAGGGCTGGACGGTGCGAAGAGAGGAGTGGGGGCCACTGAAGGTGGCGTCTGGGAGGCTTGTCCTTCAACAGGCTGTGAGCTGTCCCTCTGGGGTAGGGACAGTGAGGAAAGCCAGCCTCAGCCACATGGGGCCCCACTTGGGGAGCTTCTCGGGGCATGGTGGGCACCCACATGGGAGGTGGGTCCTGTGTGGGGGGTGACAGAGAGGCTGCTTTGGTCTTGTGGGGTGGTGGGGTGTTAGCCAGGCTGCAGGCGGGGAACCTGTGCGGGGTTTTGCTTTTGGAGAAGATGGTTCCAGGTCTAATTCTCATAAGGCTCTGCAGATAAATTTAACCACAAATCTAGTTTTTTTTTACTTGCAAGAAGGTAGATTTTGGTAACAACGCTTGAGGCTGATTTATCTGATTACAGCACCGATGTGTGCAGAGATGCTTTTATGATTACCTTGTGACCCTCCAAAGATCACAAGCTCATCAGCTGCCAAAGAGGATGACGTCTGGGTAATCATTTCCATTGCTTTTTTCTAAACTTGTTTACAGTGCAGTCACACGAGGCAAAGCATGAGGTGGCGGCCGTGCTGGGACAGTGATGCCGCTGGGTCCCAGCCGCCTCGGTTCTGCAGGTGTCTAAGTTGGGCCGTCTGCAGCGCCCCAGTGGCTGCAGGGCCTGACATCCTGGTTTTTGTGTCTCAAATGCAGTGGCCTCGTGGTCTACGCGGATGGCCCCCTGAACCTGGACCGCAAGGTGGAAGACATGTCCGAGCTGTTCCGGCCCTTTCACACGCTACTGCGGAAAATAAGGTGGGAATGGCGGGGAGGGGAGGGGAGGGCACTGGTGGGTGCTGAAGTCATGTGTAGCCACCTCCGGGTCCTCCTCCTCTCTGTAAGGAAGGGTGGGCAGGTTAATATTCCTGAGGGGTCAAAACCGGCCCCATGGGGGTCACAGAGGCCTCGCTTTTGCCTCTGCTTGGGCATTGCATGGGGTGGGCACTCTCTTGGGCTGAGCTGGGGAAGTGAGCCTCACACTTCCTGACATGGTGCAGCAGCAGCTAACTGTCCCCACTGTCCCCACTGCCCCCACCCTTCCCACCACCCCCGCCATTCCCGCTGCCCCCATCACCCCTACTGTGCCCACCATCTCCACCGTCCCCGAAGTACTTGCATATGTTGGAGTGAGGACGCTCCTCCTGTGCCCTTTGTCTTTAGTTACTGGTTTACATCTGTGTCTGCATGGGGGGCCCCCTTTTAAAACACGACGCCTTTCCTTCACATGGGCCAAGGGCTTTGCTGGGTGGCCTCTCTGAGCCGACAGAGCTGAGCCGTGGCCTCCTGGAGGGACAGGGGCCACGTGAAGCTCATGGCCGCATGCCACCCTGGCCCCCTGGCCTGGGACAGCTTGGTGTGCCCTACCATGGCCGCTGATCACTGTGAAGGTTTCCTCCAGGGACACAGAAACCTGGAACTCTGTTTCATGAGGACCAGAGGTGCCGTGAGTCCAGACAGTGAAAAGTGACCCCGTGGGCTCTGGGCCCCTGTCGTCCTGCAGATCGGGTTGTGAGCTCTTGGGGCCTCAGCAGGTGGTCTTTGGCAAGTCAGTGGGCACAGGAGCAGGGGTGCTTGGCTCAGTCCACGTTTTATCTGGGAGATGGCTGTCGCTGCTTCCCCCCTGCTTGGGGGGACACGACCCCTGGACCGGGAGGCTGCAGTCCCACCTTCCTCGGGCGATGGGGAGGAGACCACAGCGAGGAGAGGAGACAGATACCATCTAGAACAGGAAGGCACAGGTGCCCCTGCTCCACATATGGGGTTCTTACAGGAAAGGTGGCACTGGGCCGTGGCCGGGGAAGGAGCCCCCTGGGCAGTGTGGGGTTGGGAGGGGGCCCAGGCCACACAGGAGTGGAGTGGATGTCCTGGGAGCATATCTGCACTTGGTCTACATGGGTGACGGAGAGGAGGATGAAGCTAAGTGGGCTGGAGGCAGAATGCTGTTGAGAGATTAATGCTGGGATTACAGGTGAACCAACACACCCAGCTAATTTAAAAAAACTTATTAGAGATGGGGTCTTGCCATGTTGCCCAGGCTGTCTTTAACTGCTAGGCTTGAGCTCTCCTCCCACCTTGGTCTCCCAAAGTGTCGGGATTACAGGTGTGAGTCACTGCACCTTGTAGAAAGCGGTATAGATGGAATGTGACTCTGCTGCCCATGCTGGGACCCTAATGTGGGAACCACAGCCATGGGTAGGGCGCCTGAGACCCGGGTGTGCAGCTGCATGCTGGCCCTGCCACCTAGACAGAATTGCTGCTTGTTCTCACCCCCACCCCCTGCCTACGGAAAACAGTGAGAATCCACAGATAAGCCGGTGCCTCCTCCAGGATCTGTTACTGGCCACAGGGCCTGGCGTTGACAGAGCTTCAGAAAATGCAGTCTTCGGCCAGGTGCAGTGGCTCACGCCTGTAATCCCAGCACTTTGGGAGGCTGAGGCGGGTGGATCACCTGAGGTCAGGAGTTTGAGACCAGCCTGGCCAACATGGAGAAACCCTGTCTCTACCAAATGAAAATACAAAAATTAGCTGGGCATGGTGGCAGGTGCCTGTAATTCCAGCTACTTGGGAGGCTGAAGCAGGGGAATTGCTTGAACCTGGGAGGTGGAGGTTGCAGTGAGTGGAGATTGCCCCATTGCACTCCAGCCTGGGAGACAAGAGTGAAACTTCGTCTCAAAAAAAAAAAAGAAAGGCAGCCTTCAGCTCAGGATTGTGTGCCACCCTGGAAGAGAAAAGCTGGAAAAAGGCATCTGGGTAGAGCCCTTAAAAAGAAACCTGTGAAAACAGGATGAAATTTGGTGAGTGGTATTTTAATACATGTCTGCTACGAAATACAGGCAGATATAACCAGGCAACTTCAGGTCTTTTTAAAAGCTGGGCAAAACTACCACTTCGGGATGGACAGGAGGCCCGGGCTGCACTGGGCCCATTCTCCAGCTGTGACAAGTACAAACATCTGGACACATTTGGAAGATCCTGTCTTGAAGGTACCTGAGCTGTGGAAGTAATGATTGGGTGGACTAAAACCCCGGCCAGAGGAGCCTTTGGGAGGTGAGCTGCAGTCTCTCTCCGTGGATATTTTTTCCCAGGAAGATTTGATGATTCCAGGCTTGTCCAGAGCCCAGGCTTCCCGGGCAGAGAAGCTCTGCTAGAGAAAGAGCATCCAATTGCAAGGTCTGGTGGATCAGGCTGGCAGCGTGGGGGCATCGAAGCAATACGCCTGCCAGTCTGGTCCAGGAAAGCATGAAATCCAGGCAGAAAGCCCCCAACAGCAGGCTTCCTGCCCTTCCCAGGTGCTTAGGAACAAAAGCAGGCCTTGAGGCCGGGCGTGGTGGCTCATGCCTGTAATCCCAGCACTTTGGGAGGCCCAGGCGGACAGATCACCTGAGGTCAGGAGTTCGAGACCAGGCTGGGCAACATGGTGAAACCCCATCTCTACTAAAAATACAAAAACTAACTGCATGTGGTGGCAGACGCCTGTAATCCCAGCCATTTGGGAGACTGAGTCACAAGAATCACTTGAACCCAGGAGGCAGAGGTTGCAGTGGGCCAAGATCGTACCATTGCACTCCAGCCTGGGCGACAGGCAAGACTCCATCTCAAAAAAAAAGCATGCCAGAGACAGATGCCAGATTTTGAAGTTGCGTGTGACTAGAGGCAGAGCTGGAACTTGGAAGGAGTTTGAGAAGACAGAGAGCCCAGCAGGCTCAGAACTGAAGCACAGCCAGGCCTCAACCTGCTGAGTTTTCAAAGGGAATGCAATAATGGGCCCCATGCAGGCAGCCTAACAGGGAAAGGGCAGTCTCCTCTGGTTGAAAAAGCGCCATCTGTAACCTCTATGATTCTTTTATATCCAGTGTCTGTCATATAAAAAACTCAAAATTGCTTAAAATGTTGGCCAGGCACAGTGGCTCATGCCTGTAATCCCAGGATTTTGGGAGGCGGAGGCCACAGAATCACTTGAACCCAGGAGGTGGAGGTTGCAGTGAACCAAGATCGTGGCACTGTACTTTAGCCTGGGTGACAGAGTGAGACTCTGTCTCAAAGAAAAAAAAGTAAAGAGACAAGAAAATACATCTTCTGATAGTATAGAGAAGAGCCAGAAAATGGCTGCAGACAGCTGATGATCCAGATACTACACCCAAGGACTTGAACACAATTCTGATGACTTGATTAATAAAGAAAACAGAAGGGGCAAATTAGATAAGGGGGGACAATATAACAGAGAATTGGAATCTATGTAGGGAGACATAACCAAGCGTTGCCATGCACCTGTAGTCCCAGCTGCTCCAGAGGCTGAGGCAAGAGGATCACTTGAGCCCAGGAGTTCTAAGCTGTAGTGCGCTAGGCTGGTCAGGTGTCTGCACTAAACTTTGGCATCAATATGGTGACCTCCTGGAGCAGGGAACCACCAGGTTGCCTGAGGAGTGGTGAACTGGCCCAGGTCAGAAATGGAGCAGGTCAAACCTCCCGTGCTGATCAGTAGTGGGACTGCACATTACAATACAGTGTGAATAGCTGCTGCCCTCCAGCCAGGATAGCATAACAAGACTCTATCTCTAAAGAAAAAGAAAGAGGGGAAGGAAAGAAAGGAAGGAAGGAAGAAATGATATTCTAAAGCTAAGAAAATACACAATTTGTCAATAAGGACACAGTAGATGGGTTTAATAGCAGATTGGACCCAGCAGAATACAGAGTATTCAACTTGAGGATAGCTCAATAGAAGAGACCCAAAGTAAAGCCCAGACAGGAAGAAAGAGGGGACACCATGAGAAACAACAACAGAAAACCAGAAGACAGCACAAGAGACACGTGTAACAAACTCGAAAGGTCTAACGTGCATAATCAGAGTCCCAGAAAGAATAGAGGGAAGGGGCAGAAGCAATATTCAAAGAAGTCATGGCTAAACATTTCTCCAAATTCCAAAAGGTGAAAAATCTCTGGCCACAGATTCAGCAAGAAAACTACAAACAAAAAACCACCAGACATACCTGGGTACATCATAGTGAAATTGCCGAAAACAAAGACAAAAAATTTGACAAGTAGGAAGAGAAAAAGATATACTACTTTGAAGCAAACATAAGATGGATAGCTGTCTTCTCAACAAACACAAGAACAGTGGAAGCCAGCAGGCAGTGAAGTGATGTATATTTGAACTGCCGAAGAAGGCCGGGTGCAGTGTCTCAAGCCTGTAGTCCCAGCATTTTGGGAGGCTGAAGCAGGTGGATCACTTGAGGCCAGGAGTTCGGGACCAGCCTGGCCAACATGGTGAAACCTCATCTCTACTAAAAATTCAAAAATTAGCCAGGCGTGGTGGTACATCCCTGTAATCCCAGCTGAGACATGAGAATCACTTGAACCTGGGAGGCAGAGTTTGCAGTGAGCAGAGATCACACCACTGCTCTTCAGCCTGGGCAACAGAGTAAGACTTTGTCTCAAAAAAAACTGCTGAAGGAAAGTAGCTGCCAACCAGAATTTTATAACCAGCAATAATATCCTTCAAAAATGAAGGTGATATTTTGCCTTCCTGAATTATTCCGAAACACAGAGTTGAAGGAATTTGTTATCAGCAGCCTGCACATAAAACAATTAGAGTTCTTTTTTTTTTTTTTTTTTTGAGACGGAGTTTCGCTCTTGTTACCCAGGCTGGAGTGCAATGGCGTGATCTCGGCTCACCGCAACCTCCGCCTCCTGGGTTCAGGCAATTCTCCTGCCTCAGCCTCCCAAGTAGCTGGGATTACAGGCACACGCCACTATGC